TTGAGAAGTGCCGAGGGTGGCGATGTTTGCAGGAGGTCAAGTTTAATAGAAGAAACCTGGTACCACAAGTGACAGTGACAAAGTACATCCCAGAATGCACGGGAATTTTGGAGACGATCTCAAGCTCCCCATGAAATTTGGAAAGATGTGAAAACAATTGTATTTAAATCTTAAAGGCAAGAGGTATCAGCTGACACCTGGGTTGCATTGATAGAATTAAAATAAATACCATGTCACTGAGCAGCTTTATGTACTTCCCCCCCGCCGACATATCTGAAGCATTTTCATGTTTTTGAAAATATATTCTATCTAAATATGAATTCTTAAAAACTGTAATATGATTTATATCCTATTCCCGTTCAAAAACATAAAATGAAATTTTATAGGCCTGCTACTTTGGATGATAATGGAAGATATTTGTGCAGTTGTTATAAATTCATTTGGGTCACTTTGGACAAGTATTTAATTTTTATTGTGTGCCTATAAATAACTAAATGCTGAAATAGCCAATGAGTTGTCCTCTTGAATTTTAAGTAGTAAAATTGCATAAAATGTGCCAAAACCTCAAAATAAATGTGATGTGCTGAGTTTAATTGATGTGGACAATTAAAACAGATTTGTGTGGTTGTTTTCCTTCTTCAAAATTGATTTTCCTCTTACTCCTGCATTATTCTTCAACTCTTGGATGTAAGAATGAAGACCCAGGCTGAGTTTGCCTTATGCCATGAGGCTAGCTTCTTTTTTTTTTTTTTTTTTTAAAAAAAAGATGGGGTTGCACCATGATGGCCAGGCTGGTCTTGAACTCCTGGCCTCAGGTGATCCACCCATCTCAGCCTTCCAAGTGCTAGGATTACAGGCATGAGTCACCACACCCGACTGAGGCTAGCTTCTTTCTTTAACTTTTTATTTAAACAGTTTTTATGGGTATATAGTAGGTGTACCCATTTATGGAGTATGTGAGAGATTTTGATACAGGAATACAATATGTAATAATCACATCAGGGTCAATGAGGTAGCCAGCTTCTTTGTTTTTTTTCAAAACTGACTATGGATGAATTTTTCTGGTGCATACAAACTCTTCATTTGTTTTTAAGGCAAAATATTGATCTTGAATATCAGCTGTTCATACAAGCAGATGCATGGACCTGTGATACCAGGTGTGAAAGCTTCGAGCAGAGCACTTGGCTCTTAACCGGGACCTGAAGACTTGCTTCTTCCTTTCCTTCCATCCCATGACCTCTTCTGACATGCACAGTTCGAAATTGCAATTTCTAACTCTGAGATTTAAGAAATTTTCTTAAACTTTATAAAAGAACAAATACAGAAAATTGACAACAAATTTACGCTTGATTTTTTTTTTTTTTTTTTTTGAGACAGAGTCTCACTCTTGCCCAGGCTGGAGTGCAGTGGCACGATCTCGGCTCACTGCAACCTCTGCCTTCCAGGTTCAAGTGATTCTCCTGCCTCAGCCTTCTTAGTAACTGGAATTACAGGCACGAACCACCACACCCAGCGAATTTTTGTATTTTTAGTACAGATGGGGTTTTTCCATGTTGGGCAGGCTGGTCTCGAAATCCTGACCTCAAGTGGTCCGCCTGCCTCGGCCTCCCAAAGTGCTGGATTATAGGCTTGAGCCACGGTGCCTGGCCTAACACTTGACTTTTAAGGAGCCGATATCACCGTGGTTCCAAAATCTGAGGAGATATTAATGCCGGCCTCTACATCTACACTTGGAAGATTCTTCCCAGATAAGTGGTGTAACCAAATATCTCCCTCCTGTGGGTTAGAGATCCCCAGAGAGGAGTCTCTGGAAGGTACAGGATATAGGGAATTATATGGGAATCAAATAGGTTTTGTAGTTCTGTGTATGTATGACTACCTGTTAAATATGTATAGATGCTATTGTAATTAATAAAGTAAAAATTCATTGAAAAGTATTGCTAAATTAATAGTAGCTGTTTCTAGAAATGTCTTCAGTCAGTGAAATACTAGAATATTATGTGGCTGTGATTATCTCTTTTTACGTTTAAGAAAGAAGCTGGGCATGGTGGCTCACGTCTATAATTCCAATACTTTGGGAGGCCAAAGTGGCAGGATCACTTGAGCCTGGGAGTTTGAGACCAGCCTGGCCTACAGGGTAAAACCCATCTCTACTAAAAATACAAAAATGAGCCAACCATGGTGGCAGGTGCCTATAATCCCAGCTACTTGGGAGGCTGAGGCAGGTGAATCGCTTGAACTCGGGAGGTGGAGGTTGCAGTGAGCCGAGATTGCACAACTGCACTTCATCCTGGGGGACAAGAGTGAAACTTTTTTTCGGAAACAAGAGTGAAACTGTTTTCTCACTCTTGTCTCAAAAAAAAACCTGTACATTTTCATAATTGAAATATTGGGCAGCCATTAAAAACCATATTGTAGTGTCAAATATTAAATAACAAGGAAAATATGTTAGCAGAATATTTATGGGAAAAAGCAGGCTGTAAATCAGTATCATGGTATATATCTGTAGATATCAACAAATATATATATATATATATATATATATCTCACATGGAATAAAAGGATTTTATATGGGTATTGTTTTTCTCTGAGTAATAGAAGTAGAGTTTTTTCTTTTTTCTTTATTTTTATGTTCTGACTGTTCTATAACTTCAGTTATAAGACAAAATTTAAATTTGTCAGGGTCCTCTTATGAAAGACTTTGCTATTATCCTATAAATAAATCAGTGCTAGTGACCGTTGACCTTTTCAACCCACTAAAAAATGCTAAGGTTGTTTAATATTTTGGATGTGTGAGATGACACTGATGAGCTTCTGCTGGAAGCCCTCTCCCTCACCCTGTTTTCTGTGGCAGTCCTGTTAATGATGAGACTTGATGCGCTGTTACCATAACCCTGGGGAGAATGCGCAGCTGGACACTTCTTTCTCAGGAACAAGAGGGGTCTTCCCTAATGGCTGGAAGAAAATGTGGAGTCATCTAAGAGAAGTGTTGAGATGAAGAAATGTCCTCCCTTACTCTAAACAACAGTGGGTGCCTGTATGGGTGTGGGTAGCATCTATGTACAGTGTCTTTGAGTAGGGAAAATTGTAATTAGAGCCACTGTTGCTCTGGGCCATAGTGAGCCATTACTGCCCTTTTCCCAAGCTTGCAGATGGACAGAATTACGTTGCCTTAATAATGAGACTCTTAAGTGCCAGCTGTCATACAGCATGGCAGCCCTACATGCTAACAAAGCCTTCATTAAATGGTTTGCTCCGAATAATTTGCCTGCTCTTTTTGCCCTTCTAGCAACTGAAAACTTGGCCCCTCTAGCCCTCCCTCCAGACCTTCCGTGGACACCCTTAATTACTGCAAGAGAAGCCTGTGCCATGCTTGGTGGGATGGCAATTTTTTTAATCCCACATGTCTTCATATTATTTTTATGCCCTGTTTCAAAAGTTTTTAAATGAGGTTGGTAGCTAACACCCTGAGCTATCATTCATTCCATGGCAAAATAATAATTGCTAATTTTCTTCTTCAGAGAACCAGAGCTTTATCAGGAATAACATTATGCAAATGACTATGCAAATGCAAACCAGAAGAGTACAGTATCTGGAAAAAAAAGTTCAGATAAAACCTTCAGAACACATCCAAAGTTGGCTGGAAAAAAGAACGGAACATTTTAAACTGTAAGGTCACCATGGTAGCAAAGGGAATTTATTACTAATAAGAATTTTGCAAGAAAGCTCTGCACTTAAAGTAAGAGGTAGGGCATACATTCATATTTCTTCTGGCTTAATTTATTTATGACATTATGGTTGTCTCTGCCCACTGTTAAGTCCCCTTGGGGTGGGACTCTTCATCCTTGTGTGGTGTCTAATGGTTCAAAATGCTTCATGTTCAACCTTCTGAGGCTTAAAAAATAATCCTCTAGTTTTTCTACTTTCTATATATTTTCTTATCATTAGTAGTTTTAACTTTATCATCTTGAATCTTATTGGAAGAAATACTACAGAGATAAATACTCAATTCTTTCAAAACATAACTTTTAAGGTATTGTTAAATAAATTGTGTCTTTTTTGGAGGCCGAGGTGGGCAGATTTACAAGGGCAGGAGGAGTTCAAGACCAGCCTGGCCAACATGGTGAAACCCCATCTCTACTAAAAATACAAAAATTAGCTGGGCTGAACACCTGTAGTCCAAGCTACTTTGGAGGCTGAGGCAGGAGAATTGTTTGAACCTGGGAGGTAGAGGTTGCAGTGAGCCGAGATCGTGCCATTGTACTCCAGCTTGGGTGACGGGGCAAGACTCTGTCTCAAAAAAAAGGAAATTGTGTATTTAAAAACTATGCATTATTCCTCAGGACACCCCCTTTGAAACACCTGGGAAAGAAGCCTGGTTTCGGTTTATAGCATAAAAGGAAGGAGGAACTCCAGTACTGTTTATGTCACATATGGGATGTATGCATATATTTAATGACCAAATAAAGGAAAGGTTATTAATTTAGTAAGCTTTGTAGTAATAAACTGGAGGTTTTGATTTTGTTCTGTCTTTTAAAAAGACCAATTATTTAAATTTAAGAGAAGAGTATTTGAAGGGCCCTTGCTTTACAATCTACATCAGTAAAATTTATACCCAAATCTGACCAATATGATAGCTAGAGGAAACAAAATCCAAAGTTTGTCCAGGCATGGTGGTTCATGCCTATAATCTCAGCAGTTTGGGAGGCCGAGGCGGGAGGATCACCTGAGATCAGGAGTTCAAGACCAGCCTGGCCAGAATGGTGAAACCCTGTCTCTAATAAAAATACAAAAGTTAGCTGGGTGTGGTAGCCCACGCCTGTAGTCCCAGCTACTCGGGAGGCTGAGGCAGGAGAATTGCTTCAACCTGGGAGGTGGAAATTGCAGTGAGCCGAGATTTCGACATTGCTTTCCAGGCTGAGCACCTGAGCGAGCAAGACTCTGTCTCAAAAAAAAAAAAAAAAAAAGGAAAAAGAAAAAAACCCAAAACTCAAAGGCTTTTTCTTTTCTTTATTTTGCATACTTTAATTTCAGAACAAAATGAACAAACAAAATAAAAAACCACAATACACAACATCCAATCCTGCTGTCAGAGTAGGGAAAGAATAGGGGCTTGACACCCTTGTTTCCTGCCTTCAACTGAAGGACAGGAGAGAAAAAAAACACTAGACATCAGCAGGGGGAGCCAGGTGGGTCGGGGCACTCAAGGCTGCAGGGGGAGCCATGAGGACACTATACCAGGGCAGTTTTCCAACTATGAACTCCTAATCTACTACTTCCATGTGAGACACATCCTCATCACCCTCAAGAGGAGGGATCTCATCAGAAGCTGCAGCACTGGGTTCCTCTGCTGCCACTTCATCTTCATCGATACCTAGACCTAACTTGATCATGCGGTAGATGCGGTTGGAGTAGGTCGGGGGATCCTCAAGGGAAAAGCCAGAAGAGAGCAGGGAGGTTTCAAACAGCAGCACCACAAGGTCCTTGACTCCCTTCTCATTCTTGCCTGCCTCAGCCTTCTGCTGCAGCATCTCCACAATGGGTGGTCAGGGTTGATCTCCAGGCGCTTTTTGGCCATCGTGTAGCCCATGATGGAGTTGTCCCGAACTGCCTGGGCTTTCATGATCTGCCCCATATTGGCTGTCCAGCCGTAGGTGCTGGTCACAATGCAGCAGGGTGAAGACACAAGCCTATTGGAGATTGTCACCTTCTCAACCTTCTTATCTAAGATTTCTTTCATGAGCTTGCAGAGGTTCTCAAACTTTGCCTTGCTCTCTTCCGTTTTCTTCTTTTCCTCCTCATCCTCCGGTAGCTCCAGACCCTCATTGGTAACTGAGACTAGGCTCTTCCCATCAAACTCCTTTAGCTGCTGCACACAGTATTCATCAATGGGCTCAGTCATATATACCACCTCGAAGCCCTTCTTCCGCACTTGCTCCACAAAAGCTGAGTCGGCCACCTGCTCTTTGCTCTCACCAGTGATGTAATAGATGGACTTCTGTGTCTCCATGCGAGAAACATACTCTGACAGAGATGTCATCTCATCTCCAGACTGGGAGGTGGGATAGCGCAGCAGCTCAGACAGGTGGCGTCGGTTAGTGGAATCCTCATGAATTCCAAGCTTGAGATTTTTAAAGAATGCCTCATAGAATTTCTTGTAATTCTCCTTGTCTTCCGCCAGCTCAGAGAAGAGCTCAAGGCACTTCTTTTTTTTTTTTTTTAATTTATTTTTATTTTATTGCATTTTAGGTTTTGGGGTACATGTGAAGAACATGCAAAATTGTTGCATAGGAACACACGTGGCAGTGTGATTTGCTGCCTTCCTCCCCATCACCTACATCTGGCATTTCTCCCCTTGCTATCTCTCCCCAGCTCCCCACCCCCCACCGTCCCTCCCCTATTTCCCCCCAACTGACCCCAGTGTGTAGTGCTCCCCTCCCTGTGTCCATGTGTTCTCATTGTTCAACACCCGTGTATGAGTGAGAACATGCGGTGTTTGATCTTCTGCTCTTCTGTCAGTTTGCTGAGAATGATGGTTTCCAGGTTCATCCATGTCCCTACAAAGGACACAAACTCATCGTTTTTGATGGCTGCATAATATTCCATGGTGTATATGTGCCACATTTTCCCTATCCAGTCTATCGTCGATGGGCATTTGGGTTGGTTCCAGGTCTTTGCTATTGTAAACAGTGCTGCAATGAACATTCGTGTACACGTGTCCTTATAGTAGAACGATTTGTAATCCTTTGGATATATACCCAGTAATGGGATTGCTGGGTCAAATGGAATTTCTATTTCTAGGTCCTTGAGGAATCGCCACACTGTCTTCCACAATGATTGAACTAATTTACACTCCCACCAACAGTGCAAAAGTGTTCCTATTTCTCCACATCCTCTCCAGCATCTGTTGTCTCCAGATTTTTTAATGTTCGCCATTCTTACCGGCGTGAGATGGTATCTCAATGTAGTTTTGATTTGCATTTCTCTGATGACCAGTGATGATGAGCATTTTTTCATATGTTTGTTGGTCAAGGCACTTCTTAACAATGTTTTTGCGAATGACTTTCAGGATTTTGCTCTGCTGGAGCATTTCTCAGGAGATGTTCAGAGGCAAATCCTCAGAGTCCACCATACCACGGATAAAGTTGAGATACTCTGGTATCAACTCATCACAGCTGTCCATGATGAATACACAATGGACATAGAGTTTGATGTTGTTCTTTTTCTTCTTGTTCTCAAAAAGGTCAAAGGGAGCCCGACGAGGAATGAATAGCAATGCCCTGAATTCCAACTGACCTTCTGCAGAAAAGTGCTTGACTGCCAAGTGGTCTTCCCAGTCATTGGTGAGGCTTTTGTAGAATTCTCCATACTCCTCTTGAGTGATGTCATCAGGGTTTCTAGTCCAAATAGGCCTGGTCTTGTTTAGTTCTTCCTGATCAATGTATTTCTCTTTGATCTTCTTAGTTTCCTTCTTCTTATCGTTACCGCTACCATCCTCCTCATCTGAACCCGCATCTTCAGTCTTGGGCTTTTCTTCATCATCTTTATCTTTCTCACCTTTCTCTTCCTCTCCCTCACCATCACTAATTTCCTTCCCTCGTTCCTTCTCCAAATAAAGGGTGATAGGATAGCCTATGAACTGAGAGTGCTTCTTCACTACTTCTTTGACCTGCCTTTCTTCTGAGTACTCTGATCTTCTTTAAGGTGGAGGGTCACTTTGGTACCCCTGCCAATGGGCTCACCATGGTCAGCACGCACAGTGAAGGAACCTCCAGCAGAAGACTCCCAGGCATACTGTTCATCATCGTTGTGCTTTGTGATCACAACCACTTTCTCTGCCACCAGGTAGGCAGAATAAAAGTCAACACCAAATTGCCCAGTCATGGAGATGTCTGCACCAGCCTGAAGAGCCTCCATGAGTGCTTTAGTACCAGCCTTGGCGATGGTTCCCAAATTATTTATGAGATGTGCTTTGGTCATGTCAATGCCTGTGTCTACCAAAGTCAAGGTACGTTCCTGAGGGTTGGGGATGATGTCAATTTTCAGCTCTTTACCACTGTCCAACTTGGAAGAGTCTGTCAGGCTCTCATAGCGAATCTTGTCCAAGGCATCAGAAGCATTAGAGATCAACTCCCGAAGGAAAATCTCCTTTTTGGAATAGAAGGTATTGATGATCAGAGACATGAGTTGGGCAATTTCTGCCTGAAAAGCAAAAGTCTCCACCTCCTCCTCTCCATGGTACACTTCCTCAGGCATCTTGAAAAGAAAAGGCTCACAGGTATTAGAAAGCAAAGTGGGCTGGCTGTCCAACACACACACGGCACAAGAGCAGCGCCAGAGTGACTTGAGAGCGGCCTTTTTGCTCTAAAACGTCTCACTTCCCCAGGCCTGAAATTTCCACCATAGAATCCCTCTCTATGATGCAAATCTGCTGCCAGAAGATACGGACATACTGGATGAGAGTCAATCAAGCTGAGCTGCCCACAGCTGAATTATGGGATGCTTACTGATAAACGCAGATCCCTAGGTCCCACCCAGTTTTACCGGGTCAGGACCACTGTGTCTGTGGGCTGAGACTTGCATTTTCAGCAGAGTCAGCACTGTAAACTGCTATATTATACCATGGAAAAGTAGCAAGGGCTAATTTGTGAGTTATCTTATAGAGGCCCCTCTAGAAAGGAGACAAGAGTTTTATAATGGTAGGGTCGGGGGTGGGTGGCAGGGGGAGATGGGCCTCAGGAAGAGTTCAGAGATGGAAAGGGGATCAAACATGGGAAAGAGAGAAGGTAGAAGCTTCTGAAGAAAACTGTAGTGACTTAACTGCTTTGTCAAGGCCAGACAGCCACAGAAGTTTCTGGGGTGATAGGGCTCTGTACCCCACATCCCAGGCTTTGGTGTTTCATGACCCTCAACAGAAACCAGCTACTACCTATATTAATTAACAACTCTGAACCTCAGTTTTCCCATCTGAACTGGGTATAAAACTAGAGCTTTGGCCGGGCGTGGTGGCTCAACCCTGTAATCCCAGCACTTTGGGAGGTCGAGGCGGGTGGATCACGAGGTCAAGAGATCGAGACCATCCTGGTCAACATGGTGAAACCCCGTCTCTACTAAAAAAATACAAAAAATTAGCTGGGCATGGTGGCGCGTGCCTGTAATCCCAGCTACTCAGGAGGCTGAGGCAGGAGAATTGCCTGAACCCAGGAGGTGGAGGCTGCGGTGAGCCGAGATCCCGCCATTGCACTCCAGCCTGGGTAACAAGAGCGAAACTCCGTCTCAAAAAAAAAAAAAAAAAAAGAAAAAAAAAAAAAGTAGAGCTTTGATGAGGATTAAAGGTAACTGAACCAGGAAGATAATTTAACGTGATGGTTAAGGGTGTGGTTTTGGAGTTGAATTTCCAGGCTTCATGTCCCAGCTCCAGCATTTACTACTTGTGTGACCTTGGCAGGTCATTTAAGCTGTCGGCACCTCAGTTTCCTTGTATATTTACTAGCGCTAAAAAAATTAGTATTTAGTCCATAGTGTAGTTGGGGAGAGTAGGGATTAAATGAGAAAATACATTTTACAAATCTGTAACAGTACCTAGCATATAATGAGCAACTCAATAAATGTGACCACTTGTCATCATTATTTCATATATAAAGCAGCTGGCACCTGGTGGCAATTTAATAAACAATAGCTATTATTAGTAGAAATAATCACTCCTGACATCAAGACAGGCCAAAACCCTCTTTATTGTCAAAACCCTATTACACAGTCCTGGCTGGGTCCCCATGCCTTGTCCTACTCTGTCATAATGGTGCCATCGAGGTTATTTGTGATAACATCTGGTTAGGAGAGTTAGTGTGCAGTGCTGAATGCACAGATAATTGAGCAGAGAGGTATCTGAATGTTTTATGAAGATGTGTAGGGGGAGGGGTTGATATTCCTGGGGAAGCTGCAGGAGCCTCTCTCCCTCTTTCTGTTTTGAGAACCCAGCAGCTGTGGCAACAGCAGAGAGATGGATCTCTTTGAAGGAAATGGACATGCTAGAAAAATATTTGGAAATCCATGACCTGTACTCACTTGATTCAAAGCCTATCACAGGAAAAGCCTATCACATTCCCTCAGGAATCTGTTGTTATTTGCCTGTTGAGTGGAGTTGCGACGCAACAATCGCCACAGCAAAAACTACTTCTTTTTCAAGGCTTGAAACAATTACATATTTTTTTTCTCATGGGCACTGTGTTTTAATCTCTCTGTTCTCAAAATTTACAAATTTGGATTTGTTGTCCAGTTCATTAACCTTTGTTGCCACATAAATCCTGCAATCTTTGTAGAAAAATAAATAATACAGGAGAGCTGTTTGACCTTTGCTCCATGCTGGACATTGATGTCATTTGTAGTTATTAGGGTGGGAACAGAACAGTACTCATTGATGACTGAGCGGGTGGGGAAACAAGGGGAGAAGAGAAAGAGAGAGGGAGGAGAATACAGATCACCACAAGAATCTCATGTTGTGCTTTCACTTTGGGCAAATATGACACTAGTAGTCCTTTGTGGGAGCTCTAAAAGGCACACGGGGGAAAGAAATTTCTGGAATAAACAGTATGACCTTGGCTGCCATGGCTCTACTAAATTGATTTTGCAGAACTGAAATAAATGGATGCTAGTGAATTTGCATTGATTCCATTTAAGGTTTTAAAAAGACATATGGGTAATATTATTGGCTAGAGACCCTTAAGAAAACTAAGGTAATTCCCCTCATGGCTCAAGCTAAGTCTTGTAGAGGGTGAAAATAGAAAACCTTACATTGAAAAGCTGAAAGTCTCAATGTTACCGTTGCTGAACCATTGGTTTACTGGGCAGTAGGACTGAGGATCAATCTAAAAACCTCTCAAGCATGGTTCTTTTTAGAAGTAAAACAGGCCAAGTGTGGTGGCTCACGCCTATAATCCCAGCACTTTGGGAAGCTGAGGCGGGTGGATCACTCAAGGTTAGGAGTTTAAGACCAGCCTGGCCAACATGGTGAAACCCCGTCTTTCCTAAAAATACAAAAATTAACCTGGCATGGTGGTGCGTGCCTGTAATCCCAGCTACTGGGGAGGCTGAGGCAAGAGAATCGCTTGAACTTGGGCAGTGGAGGTTGCAGTGAGCCGAGATCACACCACTGCACTCCAGCATGGTGACAGAGTGAGACTCCATCTCAAAAATAATAAGTAAAGGCCGGGCGCGGTGGCTCAAGCCTGTAATCCCAGCACTTTGGGAGGCCGAGGCGGGTGGATCACGAGGTCAAGAGATCGAGACCATCCTGGTCAACATGGTGAAACCCCGTCTCTACTAAAACTACAAAAAATTAGCTGGGCATGGTGGCGCGTGCCTGTAATCCCAGCTACTCAGGAGGCTGAGGGAGGAGAATTGCCTGAACCCAGGAGGCGGAGGTTGCGGTGAGCCGAGATTGCGCCATTGCACTCCAGCCTGGGTAACATGAGTGAAACTCCGTCTCAAAAAAAAAAAAATAATAATAATAATAATAATAATAATAAATAAATAAAAATACAGATAAATAAAACAGGCAGCCTGCTTGTTCTCATGTAACACATGATGACAGTAAGCAAATGTAAAAATGCACAGCATAAATCACAAGAAAATTTAATTAATAAGATATGCAGTAAGAGAGGAAATAGGAAGAATTTCTGTCAATGTAAATATTCTAAAAACAGTGATTCTTCAGATCAGGCTAAAATTAATGTCACTACTAAAGTTTCAGACAACTTTGTGATTTGAGCTAAGAAATACTTGTTGAGCACCTACTCTGTGCCAGATATTGTGATATAACATGGGTCTATAGTGATGAACAAGGAGACAGAGGCTGTCTTCAACCTAAGGACTGTACACTCTAGTGGGAAAGATTAAAAAGCAAACAACAATGCAAATGCAGGACCCAAATTGCAAGTATACATGGCACCTAACAGGTGTCACTTTGGAGGCTATCTACTAATAGCTACAGAGAGTATAAGCTGTTTTTGAAGAATAGATGATCAAAGAGATCATCTTGAAGACAGCATTTGAGTTGTACCTTAAAGGAAGCTTAAAGCTTCAATGAAGATGTGGAGGGGAAGTTCTTCTTGAATGAGGCACAGCAATGGTGGATACCTCTGCTTAGCTGGGCTGCAGGGTCTGTGTATGAGAGAA